AAGCTACTTCGAATTATCAACCACGTTTCCAACAGAAAACAATTCAGCAAGGTCATGTGCAGAGGAAAGCGCAATTTGATCCCATTCCAATGTCGTATACTGAATTATTTCCGGCTTTGATAAAGAAGAATTTGGTTCAGACTCATGATCCGCCAAATGTTCCTACTAATATTCCATGGTGGTATAAGCCAGATGTCCGTTGTGCATTTCATCAGGGCGCCCTTGGGCATGATATTGAAAATTGTTATCCTCTAAAATATGAAGTTGAAAAGCTCGTAAAAAGGGGTATTATGTCTTTTGAAGATACCAATCTCAGTGTGAAATCAAGTTCGTTGCCTAATCATGGTAACGCGGCTGTCAATATGGTATATGGGTGTCCTGGTACATACCGTATTTATAATATTCATCAAATTCGGAGGTCGCTTGTTGAAATGCACGCTACTTTGAGCGAATTCCATGATATTGAGCATGATTATGCTGCTTGTTGTATTTGTCCGGTGAACCCCCGTGGGTGTGTGATTGTAAAGAGGGACTTACAAAAGATGATTAATCAGAATTTAATTCAGGTTACTGCAAACAGAAATGAAGTTGAGAATAAGGTGAATGTCATAGTTCTGCATTTAAACATCCCTGAGCGAGTTGTAATTTCTTACAATAGTCAGAAATTTGTTGTGACACCTTTGGTCATCCATTTTCCTGGCCCGGTACCATATGAATCAGATAAAGTAGTTCCCTAAAAATACAATGCTACTATGTTAGAGGATGGGAAAGAATTAGATATAAAAAAAACATTTCACCTCATTCAAACTTTTTTTGCCTTTGTGCACTTTTCATTTTAAAACTTTTCATAAAGTTTAGATATGAGTCATTTTCATAGTTGAGATGTAATTGTCCTATTCCCCATAGTACTTAAGATGTTGATATTTTCCACTTAGATGTTGAGTGATAGACTTGTTGATTTTAGTCCAAGAAAAATCATCCATCTTTAGGTGATGCAAATGTTGTCTTGTACTTATGGGTGACTAGTCGTAGTTTTCTCCTTAAAATGACGACTTGTCTTTACATTTAAAAATCAATCAAAACCAACAAAGTTTTGTTATTTATACCACAAACTACGAGGTTTTGATCCTATATTTCACTTTGTGGGTACGTAGGCATGAGGCGATAAGTCTCTCCAAACACAAAAATCTTTAAAATAATTCTCTTCTCATCCCCAGTCTCATTTCAAGCAAACATTTTCAAACCAAAAAACGTAGATATTTCAAAGGGTTTCTATAGAGTACTATAGACGTTTTGGGTGCTAACATATTCCCATTGCGTAACCAACCCCCTTACTCGGATCTCTGTTCTTGTTCTTGTTCTTGTTTTAGAACTCTTAGGTTTTGTTTGCTCTTTTTCTTTTACTTTTTGGATAAAATAAAAGTGTGGTGGTGACTCTTACATTTTGAGTTAAGTTAATCAATAACTTACACTCACAATTTTACCGCTACACAAGCAATGGTAACATTAAAAAAGAATACTGATGAAAGTATTCTTCACTCAACCAAATAAACAAAATGCAGAAACATCATAGAAACAAAGTTACAAATTACAATAGAATATGAAAAACAAACAGAGAAGGTGAAAAAACCTTGTGGAGACAGAAGCATTGATGTGTAGCGAAGAGGCATGCAACAAAGATGAAAACAAATAAGGAAGATGAAAAAACCATGTGGAGACAGAAGCAATGACATGCGACAAAGTAGTATGCGGAAAATATGAAAACACAAAAAGAAGTTGAAAAAACCTTATGGAGACAAAAGCAGTCGTGTGCGGCATGCGGCGAAGATGAAAACAAACTGAGAAGATGAAAAAATAAGAATACTAAAGGTAATATGAAAGATGGAATATGGAATATAGTGTTGTTATTATAGTGGAGAAATAGAATATGAAAGGTAAGAAACATTTTTTATAAAAATCATGCAAACTTCAGTAGGGTCGTGTCTGTTATTTGAAATAATGTGTCATTTTCGTGACCAATACGTTTCAATTTTTTTCATTGGACACTTTCAGATATGTGTCGTACGCATGTCATACATGTATCTGTGTCGAATACACGTTCGATGCAGGGACACACCCTCTGATAGTCGTGTTGGAGCTTCATAGCAAGCAATATTCTTTGGTAGCCAACTAGAAGGCACGACAAATTAATTAGCATCAATGATGAAAGCCTATCTTTGTGGAGTTTGGAAGTTTTCAAGAAATTGCATAGGTATAAAGTTCATGGCATATTATATGTGATTTTTAACATTGACACATGCACCAAAAAACATATGAATATTATACCAGCTACCACTAGTTGAGATTGTTGGTTTTACATTAACGAAGTTGATGTTTTTGGTTCGATTTGTATATCTAGAACATGAAAAGGAGGAAACTTCACATAGGCGCTAGAGAAGTTGTAATAGTTGTTCACTTCTGAGAAGTTGCTACCAAAGGTTTTGGTAACAGACTGGTAACTGACGCTGATGAATGTCATGGAAGTTGTGTTCCCAAACTTAACTCATATGTTGTGTGTGTTCCATATTTCAAAAAATGTTAGTATGAAATGTAAGGAGCATGTTGAATCCCATAGGCCAAGGCATGTTATGGATCTATGAAAAAAAATCATGTATTCGAATAGGGAGACTGAGTTTATGGAACACTTGAAGCATTTTGAGGTAGTGTGTGTTAATATTCATTTATTTGTTAATTATGTGAACGAAACATGGTTGACACCCTACAAAGAAAGGTTTGTTGCTACATGGACTAATACAATCACACATTTAGGGAACACGACAAAAACAGGTACATCGATGTGACATTCAATTTGTTAGATTATTAATTATCAAACATGTTAAGTATCCTCATTGATGTGAATTTTTCTGTCTTTGTTGTTTTAGGATTGAGTATGCTCATTGGAGACAAAAATACATGTTGGCTACTAGTCGTGGAGATTTATACAGAAGTTGGGATGTTGTGAATTACCATGTTAAAGTTGTATCTATGTTCAATAAAAGTATCATTTCAATAAAGTATTGCCAACATTGAGCATCAATATAACACTCTATTTTACTCTAGATTACACGGCTTCGTTTCAAGACATTGTATACAACACATCGAAAAGGAGTTGGAAAGGGTAAAATTTGTTTGTTCTAACAAAGATACATGTGGTTGCATCATTAGAACGACACATGGGTTACCTTGTGTTTGTCAACTTTTTGGTCTTCAAATGCAAGGCGAGTCTGTTCCGTTAGAACCGATTCATGTGTTTTGGAAGAAATTAAACATTGAAGAGTATGAAATCAGTGAAGAAGATGGTGGGACACAATTGAATTTAAAACAAGAATGTGAAGAGTTGAAGAGATATTTCAGTACATTGGATAATGTTGGATAGAGCGTGATGAAAAAAGTTCGGGAACTAACACATCCATCCAAAACATCCATGTGTCCACCACTAGTGAAGTACAAGCCAAAAAGGTGAATTAAGAGTAAAAAGAGTAAGATAGTGATGTGCATCGTGATCCTTCACAGTGGAAGCATGTTGAGGGCTCGTAGGGAAGTCAATCTATGAAGAGATCATTTACAAAACCAATTGAAAGTCGACCAGTTAGCCAATCTTCAAGACTTTTTTTTACTTGTCTCGGTTTCTTATTTTTTTCATCAGTACACTAATGACATTGTTGAGGTGGGTCAAGATGAAAATTATGGTTTCCGTGTTATTGCAGATTTACTCTAATGGGACGAAGAGTTTTGGCCTTTGATCGGACGCAGTTGGATGTTGAAGTTTAACAACACCAACAATTGTGTTCCAATATATTCTATGAGACGATTTTTGAATTTAGGAGTTCTTTATGCTTAACGAGCTTGGGTGCGCAGGGTCGTGAGAAACGAATAAAAATTCTTGATATGAGTTTTCTTTTATATATATATATATATATATATATATATATATATATATATATATATATATATATATATATATATATATATATATATATATATATATATATATATATATATATATATATATATATATATATATATATATATATATATATATATATATATAATGTCATATTGGTCTCATTGTCCAGGATCCTTAACATCTCTTTCTTCCCGTTAGTACTATCTTCATGCACACCTGCGTGTAGACATAAGATTATTGCAATTGGTTTTGTAAACAACAATCATTAGATTTAAGTGAAGTTAAAATCCGATTGTCCGTTGTCTCCCGTCACTGACGGATGTATACAGAACTGTAGTGAATGTGCAAGAGCATGAGAAACAACATATGCGGAACATATAAGACATTGGAAAGACGAAGTTATGAAGTCAACATAATTTATTTTGTATTGATATTATTGTACATTTTGTATTGATATTATTATAAATTTTGTATTATATGTATATATTTTATCAACTTAATTGTTCTACTGTCTAATTATTTTGTTAAAAATGTCAGACACTTAAATTTTTTTCAAAAATCCCTATTGCCTACCAGATTTTTTAGAATTTATAAAAAATTTGAAAATCATCAAAATATTCAATACATTAGATTAACCAAAATTTTAAAATATCTGATATGCACATATCAAATAAAAAAAATCGGTATTTTTTTTTTACAATATCTAGTATTTCGTTACATAAATACAAAATAAACTGGTAATGGTCTAAAATTCCAGAAACTGGCGAACATTTTGAGAAAACCGAAATTATTTGGCAAGGGTAAATCTGTAAGGGCATTGCACATGTGGGGGTGCCAGATAAAATTCTCCTGCAATTTTTGTGTCTAGCCCATATCACGTCTTCGACCCAAAAAAATCAACATCTCGCCTCAAAAAAAAAAAAATCAAGGCAGCAACCGTGTAGCACGGTGCGCCATTTTTGGGTTTAACTCCGGTTAGTGTATCTGAACCTCCTCATTCAAGTAAAGTAGTTGCAGATTCATCGTTCAACTAACCTGCAAACAAGCAAGATCAATGCAAGCTGTTTCATCTGGTATCGGATACGGTCTCAAATATCAGGTCAATTTCACAATTCCATAACCAATTCTCATTCGTTCACAATCTCCATTATTCACTTCAAATTTTTTCATTGTTTCGCACTTTAGGCTCGATGCATATCAGATGTAAAAGCAGATACAGATCACACAAGTTTCCTCGCTGGAACTCTCAGTCTCAAAGAAGAAAATGAGGTATGAATATACACGCGCGCGCACGCGCTAATTTAGTTTTCTAGAATATGATCTTAATTGATTGTAGAATGAATCGTTGAATCAAATTCTTAGGTTCATCTTATTCGGCTTTCTTCAAGTGGAACTGAACTTTTCTGTGAGGGATTGTTTTCGCATCCCAGCGAGATCTGGGACCTTGTTTCTTGTCCTTTTGATCAGCGAATTTTCTCAACCGTCTACTCTAACGGTATTCAACATTCTCTTTTAATTTTCTTTTTTTCTTTCATAATTGTATTGGTAGTGGTATTTGAGAATTTTGATATAATGTAACATGTTTCCATAGTTAGTTTGCGCGTCTAGTGCATCAATTTCTTTTGGTGTAAAGATAGGTTCGGTTTGATTGACTTATTTAAGCTTATATATCCAATATAAGCACTTTTGTTAAGGTTTGGGAGAGTATGGAAACAATTGATGACTTGTTCATAATTTGTTTTGAACTTATTTTTCGTAAGCTCTACCTTGTAAAAACAATTTATAACTTATATAAAAACATTTTGATTTTATTTTCTTTTGTTTATAGAAATAACTTATATATAAGCACTTATATATAAGCGTTTATGCTATAACAACTTAATTGATACCGTTTGGATAAACAACTTATAACACAACTGCTCACCATGATAAACACTTATGTATAAACTATTTCTATTGCAAAAGATAAAATAAAGTTAAATTGTTTTCACAAGTTATCTTGGAAAACTTGTGAAAATAAGCTGAAAAAGCTTGTGAACAATGTCATAGGTTGTGTTTCATATGCTCTTCCAAATGGTCTTACAAAATTTATGTCGGTAGATAAGCTTAAATAAACCAATTCAAACATGCCTCTAGTTAGAAACTTAAAAGTAGGGCTGAAAATGAGTCGAGTCGAGTCGAACTCACCTCAGCTCGACTCGACTCGTTAAGAATTGTTCGAATTCGAGTTCGAGTTCGACACGAACTTTTTTTTAAGCTCAAACTCGACTCGTTATAAGTTCACGAACAGTTCGGTTTGACTCGTTAGGTTCATCTCATTAGGTTCATCTCATTAGGTTCATCTCACGTGGTTCACGAACTTAAAAACTATTTTTTTAAATATATATATTTTTAGTATATTTGACATTTTAAATAAATATATATTTTTTAAATAAAATATTAAAATAAAATAAAAGTTATCATATTGAAATTTAACTTTATCTTCGAAATCTACTAATTCAAAAGCTACACAACTTTAAAGAGATACATTTGAGAGTCTAATTCAAAAACTACTAAATTTAAGATTAAATTTGTCTAAGATTTAAAGTAAATATTTAAACCTAATCTTAAAGACAGTATAATTCTTTTCATATGTAATCGAGTTGACTCATGAACCTAACGAGTCGAACTATGTATAGTTCAAGTTCAGCTCATTTAGTTAACGAACTTAATTTTTCGCTCATACTCAACTCATTTGGTTCATGAACCTAGTTCAACGATTTAATTGTCGAGTCGAATTCCGAACTATCTTCGAGTTGGTTTGGTTCATTGTCAGCCCTACTTAAAAGACTTATGATTACATTTTGTTCATAAAGGTGAATCGTATGGGGCAGCAATATGGCAGATTCCGGAATTATATGGCGAGTTAAATTCCCCACAGTTAGAGAGAATTACATCTCTTGAAACTAAATCCGGTAAGATTAAAAGGTGAGTACGCAATTCCCTTATGCAAATGTATTTGCTCTGAATCTCTTGAGCGACTTGTTAGGTTTATCATTTTTCACTTCAGCTTCTATTGTATGCTGTTTCATTGCTTGAGGTTTATGTAGTTGTCTGAAGATGTTAATGGAATTTATTCGTAGAAATTAGTTAACTATTTTAATTAAGCTACTTGTGTGATTTCTTCACTTCACACTATTGGACTAGTCTTTTGGAAGTCTCGAAAATTTTCCTTAATTATTTTACAACTTTCGTCTTTACTATATGATCATTATTCACATTTACATGGTCTTTTACCATTTCTTACTGAACATTCGCTACCAAGCAGTATTCTTTGGTGGCCAACTGGAAGGCATGATAAATTGATTAGCATCGACGATGAAAGCCTATGTTTGTGGAGTTTGGACGTGTCCAAGAAAACTGCACAGGTACAAAGTTCATGGCATAATATATGCAGTTTCTGAATTCTGACATTGACACATGCACTGCAAAAACATATGAATACTATACTGGCAAATACATATGTTTCAAAATCACATGTTATCATTACTAAAGTTACCATCGTCTATTGCAATAAACAAACAATTAAATCTTTACAATGCGGGAGAAGAAATTATGTTGATTTGGGGAAAGTAGACCATGAAAGATTATCTGGTCTTGTGCAAAATAGAACCAAATAGTTTCTCTTTGGACTATAGGCATTTAAAACTTAAAAATGAAGTGAATAATAGTTTACACTCCCTAGTTGTTATGTATGGACAATTAATTAGTTAGTTATTTTTATTGAATGTTAAGATATTGTTTGAACGATAGGCGTTTTAGAAAATGAAAGATTGGAGGAATTGGCCAATGGATTTTCCCAAACAACTGTGAACTTGTGATGCTTCAGTCAATGATTGATGTAACTGAGAATGGATTACATATTGTCCATAAGGGATCTAATTTTGTTCCCTGATAAAAGTTTAATATGGGATGGAAAATTTAACATTGATATTAATTGTCAATCTTAATGAAAGTCAAACACCAGAGTTGTATGTGAGGTTTAGTTAAGACCTAAGATCTGTGTTATGAATTTGATAATCACGATTCACGTGCATTTATGTTGTTGACAGTGTCTGCATTACTTAAGTTCCATGGAAATTTTAGTGATTTTGACTTAATCCCCTCACGTTCCTCTCAACACATGCAAACAACAAAAACACAGGTACAATCACAAGATTCAGCTGGTATGCTGCACAAGTTATCTGGAGGAGCATGGGATCCACATGATGTGAATTCTGTAGCTGCAACTTGTGAATCATCTCTCCAGTTTTGGGATGTGAGGACAATGAAGTATGTTCCTAAATTCATCATTTTACTGGTTCATTTGAAAAATTCAATGTATTTGGAATCTTCCTTCTGGTTAAGAAAATTACTCGTTGCATTTCAAGTTCAACGTTTAGGGTGCGGGAAGAGGCATATATATTCCTTGAAACCAAGTAGCTTTTATTTTAGTTCCTCTTGGAATTTCGCGTTTACTAATTGGATTATTTATATCACAGGAAGACACTCTCAATTGAGTGTTCTCATGTCCGCAGTGCTGATTACCATCCTAGAAGGAACAACATACTTGTAAGAGTTGAACTTTGTGAGCCTCATTCTACTGATATGTGTCTTTATACCTTCCAGTTGGTTTTATATATCTGCGTAACTAACATTTTCTGAAATTCACCATGCTCTAATACGGACTGTCAGCACTTATTGTTGACATTCAATTCTAGAAACAAAAATGTACACCACAGATAGTTATTTTTTGTGTTTCCTACCATCAAAATACTTAAATATATATTATCTGGGTTTTCTCACTTTGATTATTGATTGAGTTTACAGATGAAACTGTCTTCTAGATTGTAGTATTCGACCTCCTTTTATTCATATTGGCAAAATTGAATTTATGTTTTGTACAGGTTACAGCAGAACATGAGTCAGGGATACGCATTTGGGATCTAAGAAAGCCAAAAGTTCCCATCCAAGAGCTTCTAGGCCATACACATTGGTACCTATCATGAATAGTTTTAAAGCTTATTTTATTTTTTTTATCTAAATTCCCAGTCCACGAACCCTACTGTAGAATTTCTAATCAACCCCCCAGGTGGAAAAAAGATAAAAAAAGAAAAGAACCTGTGCTACTAGTGCTTCTTGTATGTTGTTATGATCAGCCTTTTAATGCACAGATAACCTACCTACTATTTTTCTTTCATTTAAAATTTTCTAAAGAAAATTAACTATTTGATGGTAGTTTTTCTTTTTCAGACATCTGATAAGCAATATGTATTACTTGTATTGCCAGGACATGGATTGTCAAGTGTAACCCAGAGTATGACGGAATAATCTTGGTCCTCCTTCTCTCCCTCTCTCTTTCTCTCTAAATATATATAATCCCACACACACACACAAATAAATACGGATGAGGCTCCTCTGCAGCCAAATTATTTTTGGGGGTGAATACATCCTTGCTCAGGATTAAGATAAACTTATTTTCTTAATAGCTTTTTCTACGCACTTGTGCACAAACATGCAATTTTTAATTATTTTTGAGGGTGAATACAGCTTTGCATGTTATGGGATATTTAGTTATTTGTCATTGGATTTGGATATGTCAGAGTGCTGGAACGGATTCGACTGTTAACTTGTGGTCGGCCTCTATAAACCATGACGAGACAACAACTGAAAGGTCTTATATTCTTATCTTTAAATATCTTTACATATTTTTATGTTTTTCTAAAAAAAATTTTTTATGTATTTTTTGTTCACCTTTGCTTGCATATTTACCAGCCAACCAGAGTCACCGGCCCGTTTGGTTGATCCATTGCTTAATACATACAGTGATTATGAAGACAGTATTTATGGTAAGAGCTTCAATAACCCATGACCTTTTCAGACTTCCGCGTATCAATTTTTTATTCATTTTACAGGGCTTACATGGAGTTCTCGTGAACCATGGATCTTTGCATCCTTGTCCTATGATGGAAGGGTAAGAAAATGAGCAATTTTTTTTGCTTACATGCTTGGTAAAACACGATTATTTCCCCCCAAATAAACTAATCTAGCTACGCACTTTTACATTTCGAAACAGGTGGTTGTAGAATCTGTAAAGCCTTTCATCTCCAAGAAATGATGTTCAACACCATTGCCTTGACGTTACCATTTGTCATCATGTTGTGTATGTCAGTAATTTCCTGCCTCTCGGGGCTTGAGATAAACAGATAACTGGAAGATTCAAGAGGATCGTTGGTAGATTTGGTGTGTGTTAACAGGAATAAATGTTCCAGCGGCATCACATCTCTGACCAGGACTCATCCATAGCTCAGAAATCGACAAAAAATTATTAAAACTTTATCTTTCAACTTTGAAATTTAGTTTGGACTGTGATATCTAGCCTATTCTTTGGTTTGACATCCATCTTGTGTAGTTCATGAAGTCATTATGTAATCTATGGAACTACAAGTTCTTTCTGTTTCTCCCTTGTAGTTCATAAATTGTATGTAACCAGGAAACCGGAAAACCCAAAATATGCTAGATGAAATGGGCTTAGTGTTTTTATGAGTGTTTTGCAAACTCTGTATTTTTTGTTCATTATTACTTTTGCATGCCTTGTGCATAATGAACTGAATATATTCTGCTTTAAAAATCGGCATAGTGCTCTAAATGTGAAACTTGGCATCAAAACTGAGTCTTGTAAGAGAGAGAACTTTAGCCACCCCACACATTTCTTGAAAGCCTCGCATGTTTTCAAAAGTACGCAATGTGTTTTTTTTATGGAAAAGTTAATCGCCTACTAAATCATTTACTCCCTTTGATTTTTAGTATGTTATTTAAAAAAAGTTGGCTTAAATAGGGAAATCGTTAAGTTACTGATTTATTGATTTTCGTCTCAATATTTTATTTTTTAATTAAAATAATCTTAGGGTTAAAATAATTTGATATTTGTCTCTGTTAAAATCCGCATAGAAAAATCTACAGATATATTTGAATTTTACTCTAGTTTAGCATTAGTATTTAATTAAACAATTATCTAGTGGAGAAAAAAATTAATCTTAATCTCTGATGAATAAATTATTGATTGAAAATATTACATGTATATGTATAATCAACGTTTATGGCTAAATTATTACTTTCTCCTTTCCAAAACAAATTTATAGTTGATCATATATCACTGAGTTTAATTCTTTGACCAAACTATCTTGTTTATTATTAGTGTATTCAAGTTATCATAAATTAAAATTATTAATTAGAATATACACAGAAAATAAAAAATAGAATTTTATTAAAAATTAAAAGCTACACTTAATTTTGGTGGGACAGATGAAGTAATTAATATTACACGTATATGTATAATAAAAGTCCTTGTTGTGCATTATTTTAAATTTGGATATAGCAGTAGTAATAATGAAGAGTAACATTTATTGGATTTAAAAGTGAAGAATAACATAGCATCATTTGGTCTCCTGGTTGAAGAGCAAACCAAGCAATTTAAATTCTAAGCTGACTTGTTTTGTTCTTGCCACGTAAAGAACTTAATCACCATGAATTTTTGTGTCCATAATTTAGTTCTCAGTACCACGTAAGTGTGTACTCCTTTTGACTCAGCTTCTTATCCAGTAACCACAATTTCTTAACCAAATTGTCAACAGGTGCTTTGACGTGTCCTCGTGCCAACATTGATGGACACGAGGTGAGATACTGAGATTAAGTTAAACAAAGTGTGGAAGGGAAGATTTAGAGTTTTTTTTATGATGACTAGACATGAGGTTGGGTTTGTGGATAAGGTGTTAGGACTTTTTGGTATCCAACGTGGAGTCAGTTTCTGTCTGAGTCTACTTTTCATTTCTGTCCTGCTTCTGTATCGGGCAGGTCGCATTCTAACACAAGATGAATGACCAGTCATTTTATCAGTTTAGTCTGATCAACTGAATTTTTTAAAGGGAATTTTCAATTATTTCTGATCCAGAAGATTTTAGTGGCAGCAATACTTACATCATTAACCATACTAGAACTTAGACCCAATGCACGAATAGTTAATTATCTATAGCACCTATAATGCGGGTAAAGTAAGTGAGTCAATTGTTTTATGGAGTACTAGTACTTCATTTCCATTATCAATCATATGGTACATAATTTACACTTTAATGATATTCATTATATATTTAAGTATAAATAGAAGCGATCGAATGATTTTTACCTCTTCAAACTCAAATCAGAATTTTAAAATAATTTATAATTTTATCTCATTTTTTTATCGAAAATTGAGAATTAAAACTCAAAATCATTTTAAATGAGTTTAGGTTGGACTTTGATATCTCCGCTACGTCATTATTTATTGAATGAAATTATTTTTTAATAAAAATATTTATTCTTCTAAAATCAAATTTCATTACAAAAAATAAAATAAATAAAAAATCTCAAAAAATGTAATACATACATTTCAAATATTTTAAATAATAAATTTAAATCAAAATATGAAAAATTAACCACATATTTAATATTTTAAATTATCAAAACTAAAATATGTTAGGTTCAATTGATTGTAAGCATTTGAAATAAAAAATTATATTGTTGCATGGAAAAGTCATTTTTTAGAGGTGATCATAATAAATTGACAATCATTGCTTAAAGTTGTTCTATCTCAAGACTTATGGATTTGTCATGCATGTTTTAACACTACAAATTCTAACAATGACATTAACATGTTAGACACATTTGATGTGTTTAACAATGTTTTAAATGAAAATAATTCAAAAATGAAATACATGATGAATCGAACCATATATCATATGGGACACTAACAAATGTCATTTATCCTAAGTGGGCAACATTTGATAACACCATCCCTATGCCACAAGGAGAAAAGAGAAAGTTATTTTCCCAGTGACAAGAATCAGTACGAAAAGATGTTGAACGAGTATTCAAAGTACTTAAATCCCAATTTAGAATTGTATGTGGTCCATGTAACATCCCATTTAAACTATTTAGTCGTTTTATATTTTGGTGTGTGTATATTTGTGGGGTGACCTTAGTTAGGGGTATTATGGACGTAAATTAAGGGGTGGTTTAATAATGAGATTAAAAATATTAGAAGTACTAGTATTATTTCAATTAGTATTAATAATATTGTTGGTGATTACTATTATTATTATTATTATTATTAATTAAATTAATTGAATTAAGTCCAATTAAGGAGTTAAGAGAGGGTTAGTAGAATTACAATTAACGTGAAAAAGAGAAAAAAGACAGAACAAGAAGAGCTAGGGCAGAGGAACCAAAATCTCCATTGTTGTCAGAGAAAAGCTCGAAACTAAGGTAAGGGGGGAGAACGGATTTTATTATGGGTGAATTAACATGAGAGGGTAGTGAAAGGTCCTTTCTCTCATAGGATTTATGCATGTTTTGAATGTCTTGATCTGATTTTCATAGCATGATAAATTACATATGAATGATGTTCTTGTTGAATAATGCTTGTATGCTGATTGTGAGTATAATCTGGTGTTGATATGAAATTCGTGTGCGAATTCCTGATGCTGTCATGGAACTTTGTTGAACAACAGATATGGAATTATGGGTTTAGGTAGATTAACGAGATCGCATCGTTAAGGGATAGAAAACGTAATAGAATCAAGATAGATGAAGTATAGTGATAGTAGAGAGAATCGATTAACAAAAATCTGAGTTCTAGGTTGAAGAAGGAGGTAGAATGATGGATCTGAGGTAGGAACTTGTAGAGGGGTTTGGATCTGAGTTTTTTGACAGATATGCTGATCACACTATACCAAAAAGAACCTTTAGCAGCGCTTTTTTTTGCCTTTAGCAGCGCTTTTAGAAAGCGCTTTCTTTGACCCCCCCCCCCCTTTAGCAGCGCTTTCTTAGACCCCCCCCCCCCCTTTAGCAGCGCTTTCTTAGACCCCCCCCCCCCTTTCCCCACCTATAGCAGCGCTTTATTAGCACTCTCTCTATCCCCTTTAGCAGTGCTTATACATAAAAGCGCTGTCTAATGTGCACGATTTGAAAAAAGAAAATTCTGAATAATCACGTTTTTTATATATTTTTCAATAAACCTGCTTATATTACATTCCCTGCTTATATAATTCAACCCTTTATTTCAACACTTTGGCCTTATATATACAATTCAACACTTTGGCCTTTAAGTATATATACATTGTAATTCATCACTTTGCCCATAATAATTTTAATACACATAAACCTGCTTAAATATATTAGAACACAATCCGATCCTCAGAATTACAACATCACAAATCCGGTCAATTTACATATAATTATAAATCCGTTAACTTTACAAATAGATACAAATTATACAATTATACCATTCTCAACTCAAGAATAAATTGACACCATTCCTCCTTATTTTCTTCCAATCTTGCCTTCGAGTAAGTACCGCACTTGAATTCATCAAAATACTACATAATATAACAGAACATGCACGATTTAATTTTAAAACTAATTACTCAGATGAAATATCGGTTAATTATCAAAATAAATCATATAACTTATGAATTGATCCATACCATGATTGGAATCTCAATTTGACCAGAAAGAATAATTTCCTTCATAAAGCGCAATACAAAATATCCGCAGTCAATCCCATTACGCCGACGAGGACACTGTAAATGGAAAAAACAAACAAACATTTATCAGGATATATAGTTTAAATAGTTTGATCAAGTAGAACCACTATAACAGTCAAACATGGGAAAATATACCTCCACTCTGATCCAACTGATGTTGTTAGCCTTGCTTTTTTCGCACTGTTGCATCTCTTTGTGCTCTGAATATTTGTATAACTCTAACATAATATAAACGCATATTTAGAACAATGTCACATAATAAATAAAGATATATAATTATTCAGAACAATATATCTCATCACTTACGTATCAACCATGTTCTTCAGATTTTCATATTTATTTGTATCGCCATCCAATGAATCTATATAATAGACTATTTCTTTCATCGGATTAATCGCGACCAACAACCAGTGTCCACTATAAAATAAGACAACAGTTTAGACGGAAATGTTATATAGAATGGAAAAAATCGAACAATTATAATAAATGAATTTAGAATAAAATCTAACCCATGGCCAGTATTGTATGGCAACAAGAA